ATTTTTAGAGAAAGAGGAGAGGAGCGGGAAAGAGAGAAACATCGATGTGAGAGTTTAATAACAATCGACTGCCTCCTGTGCGTGTGCCCTGACCGGGAGTCTAACCGGCAGCCTCTGGGTGCACGGGATGATGCCCAACCACCGGAGCCACACCGGCCAGGGCATAGACTCCCGACTTTTGAGGAGAAACCCCCAATCCAAATTTTATGTGAAAGGTTCCAATGTAAACATTGGCAGTGAATTCAGTTATTTGAGAACGCGCTGAGGATCCAAGAGGCAGATCTGCAGGTTGGAATCCAACCAGTGAGATGTCTGTTTGTGTTGTCTGGTCTACACGGAAGGCCCCTCGGGCGGGTGATGGAGCTGGTACCGGAGCTCAGGGCCCCCGAATCCCAGGCCCCCTAGTTCCAGCCCGTGCTTGTCTCACCTGCAGTCTGCAGGCACGTGGTCTCCTCACTGCCTTTCCTTGTGTCTTCCTGTTGACCCTGTGCTCATTTCCTTCTCTCGCTGTTTCCCGAAGCTCCGAGGGAGTTTTTAGGCTGTTGCAAGAATGGAGAGGTGAAATGATGCCCATCCTGTCCTAAGCTGACCAGGGGGAGGGAGCTGAAGGCGAGTGTGGGGACCGGGGTGCAGTCCTGAGGCCGGGGCACTGGAGGCGTGTGCTCTGGCTCTGCTGTTTGTTTAGCCGTAGGACCTCAGGCAGCTTCTGTGAGTTGGGTCAGTACATGCCCCCCCAGGACTGTTGGGAGGATTACATGTGACACACGTGCAAAGCACTTACCTTGTTCTACATGTTCCATATTTAGAAGCAGTTAGTCTGCCCAGGGCTTCATGAAGGGAGTGACTGGCTATGTTTCCTGATCTTGTGTCCCCTTCTAGCTCAGCTCTCTCCCATCCCTCTTCCTAGCCCAGTGATGGCGAACCTATGACACGCGTGTCAGAGGTGACACGTGAACTCATTTTTTTGGTTGATTTTTCTTTGTTAAATGGCATTTAAATATATCAAATAAATGTCAAAAATATAAGTCTTTGTTTTACTATGGTTGCAAATATCAAAAAATTTCTATATGTGACACAGCACCAGAGTTAAGTTAGGGTTTTTCAAAATGTTGACACGCTGAGCTCAAAAGGTTCGCCATCACCGGCCTAGACCCTCACACCCTTTCCCCGGGAAAGGAACTGAGGTTTCCAAATGGGAGTGGGGAGAAGGGAGTGTCAGACCGAAACGAGCATTGAAGATGCTACTTGGGCTGAAATGGAGGTGGCGGGGCCTCCGGACGTCTGTGATGACGGGGGAAGAGATAAAGCCATTCTGTGTTTATTGCAGGTCCTGCTGGTGAATCTTTGTGAAGGAACCTTCTTAATGTCAGTGAGTATCTGGGTTCAGACCCCCTGCAGGCCCACCACCAACTCCATCACTCCCGTCCCGTCTCATCCATGCTCGCTCGTCCATGTTGAGCGAGAACCCCTGCTAAGAAGACCCCTCCCCTCTCAGGGGCCCATGACACACGAAAATCGCAGGTGACCGACCTTGGGGCCAGGCAATTAGTGTTGGTGCCTCAGAGCAGGGGTGTCAACCAGGAACCACAGGGGTGGAGAGGAGACTTGCTAACACTGAGTCCAGCTGAAAGACCAAGAAACGGCTTGTGTTGTTTCTCACCTATGTGGCCGATTATTAATTTGGGGGTGAGTGGGGGTGCAGACACACCGTCCTCTCTGCCAACACCCCACTCACACCTCCTCCCCGACTCTGTCCTCGACTAGGTCGGTGACGAAAAAGACATCCTACCTCCCAAGCTTCAGGATGACATCTTGGAGTCTCTCGGTCAGGGGATCGATGAGCAACAGAGTAAGTCCCAGGCCCCTCTTATTGTGGGGTTCTCCAAGGCCCCTGAGGGCATGGTCCCAACCCTCCCCTTCCAGAACTAAAATGAACCTGCTCTGCAGGCCTGGGCCAGTCCCTGAGGCCTGGATCCCGGGGCGAGTCAGAGATTTTATTCTTCCTAAGCAATGGTAGAGAACCCATACCCAGCCTCCCACCTTAAGGAGTCCGTCAGTAATTATGACCCCCGCCCCACCCCCACTTTTTTGGGCCGTTTCATCCTTTGGCTCCTCCCTGAGTGGCATCTCCGTGTCCCCCGCAGCTCCAGAACAAATCAACGAGCATGTGTCAGGCCCATTCGTGCAGTTCTTTGTCAAGACCGTCGGCCACTACGCTTCCTACATCAGGTGGGAGGCCAGCGGGCAAGGCCGCTTCCAAGAACGGGCCTTCTACAAGGCTCTGCCCTCCAAGGCCAACCGCCGGTTCGTGAAGAAGTTTGTGAAGACACAGCTCTTCTCGCTTTTCATCCAGGAAGCTGAGAAGAGCAAGAACCCTCCTGCAGGTAGGCAGCCAGCGCCTCTACCCCCTAGGCCTGCGGGATCACTCCCCTGGCCCTGGGTTGAGGGGAGGAAAGGGCACTTCCCTCCAGAGGCCCCAGGACAGCTGGGATCTCATCAGCTGTTTGGAAAGAAAGAACTCACAGCCTCAGGAAATGCCCCGGGCTGGCACTTTGCAGAAGTCGCTCTGTTCATCAGGGCAGGAGGCCCTTTGCTCTGAGTCTGGAGCTAATTATTCTTTGTAGCCCCTTTGGAGGCTAATGGAATACGGGGTCTCCAGAGGCCTGTGAGGGTGTGGGAATTCCCCAACGAGAAGGTGGGTTTAGTGGGGGTATGGGGAGCAGACGGGATTTTCTTTTTCCTTTAAAAATTTTTAAAAAAATTGATTTCAGAGAGGAAGGGAGAGAAACATCAATGATGAGAATCATAGATCAGCTGCCTCCTGCACACCGCCCACCGGGGATAGAGCCCGCCACCTGGGCATGTGCCCTGACCGGCAATCAAACCATGACCTCCTGGTTCATAGGTCAATGCTCAACCACTGAGCCACACCAGCCAGGCCAGAGAGGGTATTTCTGATCCTCACCCCTGAGCTCATCCGTCTGCCCAGCCAGGTCACATCCTCTAACACCTGCTTCTGAACCCACAGGCTATTTCCAACGGAAAATACGTGAATACGAAGAACAGAAGAAACAGAAGAAATCAAAGGGGAAGCCTGTGAAATGAGAACTGTGGTGAGCGGGAGTGACTAGACCTCCAGGCCAGTTTTGGACTTTGGCCCCTGCCAACAGGGCAGGGTCAGCGAAGCTCTCAGCCCCGGGACCCCGTCTTCTCCCGAGTCCTGGGAACCCGGTCTTGCTTCGAGCTGGTGTCTCGAGTTTGGGATCCCTGGAATCTGCTTTCTCAAGGCTTCGGAAGATTTGGCCTCTGTGCTCACGGAGCAGGGCTCACCTTGTGCAGGGGGACACAGCGGAACAGCACAGGTGTCATGGAGATGTAGGAGTTGCTAGAACTGCCCGGTCCCAGGAACCACTATTACAAAATCCTCCAGAGAAAGCAGCTGTGGCCCAAAGGCTCCGGCTTGCCACGTAAAAAGGTCTGTGGACACGGGATAAGAATAAAATGAAAACTTCCTGTGGTTTCTATGTGTATCTTTGACTTCCACTCTTGGGGGAGGAGCAGAGACAGGAATAGATGTGAGAATAAATGGGACCCGCAAGTAGGGGACCTGGTGCTGGCCCAGAACTGGGGCTGTGCTGGTGGCCGAGCTCTAGGGGTCAGCAGCTCCACTTCCCCAGGAGGGGTCAGGGACACAGGTGCACTGGCCACAGCGCTGGGACGGGGCAGGCGAGCTCTCCAGGTTCCTGGGAGGAAGGGCTGAGCCAGAGGGAGGAATTTGTGGTCCGGGGTCAGGGAGGGCGGCAATGTCAGTGAGCAGGAGCCAGGTGTCCATAAATAGGCCTGTCCACCCACCACCTGGTTTGGAAGCTGTTTTCGACATCCTACTTCCTACTTGCTATTTCGGGAAGCCCAGTTCAACCCTCCAGCTAAAGGTGGAGGGATCCCGCAGTGACATTTTTTTCTCTGGAGAAAAGAGAACCGTAGAGTCCGAAGTTTAGGGGTCACCTAGTCCACTTTCCCTCCACACCTCTCCTACCTTCGGCTGAAACAGTGGAAGGGATGGGGAACATTCAGAAGCATTTTTTCAAGAATTGCATTTTTTAATTTTTATTTTTTGTGATTCCAGAGAGGAAGGGAGAGGGATAGAGAGAAACATCAGTGATGAGGATCATTGATCAGCTGCCTCCTGCATGCCCCACACTGGGGACCCAGCCATGCGCCCTGACCGGGAATCTAACTGGGACCTTCTGGTTCATAGGTCAATGCTCAACCACTGAGCCATGCCGGCTGGGCCAAGAACTGCATCTTTTTAGTGTGTGTGTGAGTGTGTGTGTGAGTGCGGCCCTCAGGTCCCTCAATCCTATACAAAGAACACAAATGTCTTTGGAGGGTGGGACAGGGTGATGACGACAACAACAACAAAACTATCAGGAGGGGAAGAGAATACAGTTCTATGTTTTAAGTTGAATAATTTATACAAAATAGAAAGGTCACAGGACAGAACAACACAGCTGACCAAATTTTCTTATTTATTAAAGAACAGAAATAAATTTTGCTTCAAGTTTGAAAAATGACATTAAAACTTACTTTATTTTTCCAGTGAATAAAATTGAGAAAAACGCTGGCTTTCAGATCATATATTTATTTAAAAAAATAAAATGAATCGACAAAGGTACATTATTCCGCATGCTGACAGGGTCCCAGCCCACGACACACTCATTTCTTGAGCAATAAAAAAATGACTTCCTCCACGATGTCAAGATAGGAAACCTTTCCCTCTGAATTCCGGGTGTTGGTCACTAGCTCCCCCTCACACGCCAGTGGGGTACATCGGCTCCTGAGCTGAGCTCCTTTGCAAAGAAAGCTTGAGAAGACATGAATCAAAGATGTCACTAAACGATGATGATTTGTTAAAATTATAAAGCAACCGTCTTTTGGCCTGCAAATATTCTACCTAAGAAATCTCCACTGCAGGGGGTCAGCCCCCATGACAATTTTATTCTGAATCCAGGAGAGCTTACAAGCACATGGCATTGTTCCCCGCACGCTCACTTGGCCAAAACCTGTACATCAACATGTACAATATACAGGACAGGACTCGAAACTCCCATTCTCACAGAGGATCGTTAAGGAGTGTTACCAGTAACAAAGGATAAAAGTTATACCACGTTGATTATTATAAATTATACTTGTTCTTGTCCTCCCCACTCTCATTAATATGTTCAGATTCTTTCCTGCAGAAAGCACGAGTTTCCTATACCACACCGATGCCACCACTAGTGATGGTTCGAGTGAGCTGTAGAGACCTTGATTCTGAAGACGTGTATGTGCAGGTGAGATGCGATCTGATTGCAGACGCTGACACAGTAGCGGATCAAATCAAAGAAAGAGAAGACCTGGAACGAAAAGAGATGACGATTAGAGTCACCTGACCTGCGTAGGGTGCCCTCAGCTTCGACAGTGCAGAGGCGTGGCTTCTGGCTTTCTCCCCTTCTCTTCAGAGTCACCCTCCATTCCATACAATTTAACATCTCAGAACTCACTGATTCTTCCTTTACAACAAGGATCAACAAACTCTTTCTTAGAGACACAGTCATTATTTCAGACTCTGCGGACCACACGGTCTTTGTCACGAATGCTCAACTCTGCCATTATTGCATGAATGCAGCCACAGACAATACATACATGCATGGCCATGGCTGTGTTCCAATAAAACTTTATTTTCAAAACCAGGCCATTGGCACCCTGGGTGTAGTTTGCCAACTCCTGCTTTACAGTCAGAAATATGAAATTGATAAGCCCTAATGCAGGCAGAATTAAAAATAATGCAAAAAATGGCTCAAAGATGAAGCCACAAAGAACTCCCAAAAAGTCCTATAAATGAGGCTTTGACATTCCAAATCATTACAATTGCAAGATGGATCTCAGGACTGGCCCACTGAAACAATAAGTAGCCCCCACATCATGAAATACAATACCTACCAGGGCAATCCAAAGCACAATATATTCATCGATAAAGCTGTTGAAATACTGATCCAGAAACAGAAGTGCTGGGCCTATGAAGGCTGTGTCGTGCAAATGCATTTCACTCTTCGTCATGTGCGCCACCTAGGAAAGGAAGAGAATCACTGGCGGGGCATTTCCGTGTTGGAGCGATGGTGAGCTACACAGAAAACCAGCACTGTGCTCGAACAGCAGGTCTCAAGAATTCTTTAGCAACAGGTGTTGAATTTCCAAATCTAAAAACCTGACAACACGAAGTGTGTGTGAGAGCTACACACCAAAGGGCTCCCCCATCAACTGGGCCCCCAAGCACATGTCTCACCAGGAGCCTGATTTGAGTGTCTAGACTGAGACTGAAGAATGCAGGTGAGCAAACTAAGCACATGAAATTGTGGAGAGAGGGGAGAACTACGGTGGCTCAAGGAGCTCCTGGTAATCTCACTGTCGCTTCACAGAAGATCCCAACAATTCCCAGACTGATGTCAGGAGATTCTGATCGGAGGAGAGCAAACTCTAAACTTCTCAGGACACTATGGAACGAAAACTACGGCCCTAAAACCAGAAGCAGATGAAAATTAAAAACAAACAAAAACGTTCGTGCTTACCACAAGCTTATTGGTGATTTTAGCAGATACAAAACCAAAGGTCAGTATATAAAGGCAGGGATGCTTTTCGAAAAGCTGGACTGCGGATTTCTTGTAGATCATCACAGCTAATGTGATCACGGACCCAATATGGAGAAAAGGAGAAAGGACACTTGTTCCCTGTCAGGCAGAGAGGGGATGGATTAGTGGGATTCAGTACTGACCAGCTCCCGCTTTGAAGAGCCTCGTGGAATCTGACAGCCAACAGTTCCTACAATGGGGCATCAGAACAGCTCAGGAAAAGCAGCCGCCCGGGCTGGGAAGGCACAAACTGAGTTCACTTTTAAGAGGCCAGGCTTATTTTATAAAGCAGGCCATACTTAAAAAAAAAAACATACAAAAAAACACAGTACATAAAAGTTTGTGCATATCACACAAATATAAGCATATTCTTGTATGCACGTATAAATAAAGCTGAAGTTTGGGATATTACTATTTTTAAGACTAAGTGGAAACTCCTAGTTGACAAGTGATTTTATATAATTCAATACAATTTTTATTGATTTCAGAGAGGAATGGAGAGAGAGAGCTTGAAACATCAATGATGAGAGAGAATCATTGATCGGCTGCCTCCTGCATGCCCCCTGTTGGGAATCAAGCCCGCAATCCAGGCATGTGCCCTGACCAGAATTGAACTGTGACCTCCTGGTTCATAGGTCAGTGCTCAACCACTGAGCAATGCTGGCCGGGCGATTTCATATAATTCAAATGAAAAACAAAGTGACCCCCACACCTGAGTCCTAGCATAAGCGATACTCACTGCAATTGTTGATCCGTTTTTCCCAACACCACCTGTGAAGATTACACGGAAATAATTCGTACAGGAAAATATGGTCCCTGCGACAGTACAAAGTGCAGGAAAAATTTTCACTTGAATATTCAGCACTGGAATCTTTAATAGGTAGAGAGAAAGAGCAATTAAAATATATACAAACTGAAATAGGAAAACAGACAGTCATACTCAATTCATATTCTGGTATGTTCTTCTCCATGCCCCCCAGTCTAGTAAATACTTAAACTAATGGAAGTTCCTCTCTCTTTTCCTTCATGAGCAACATAACAAGTCTGAAGAGACGAGGCTACACAGAAATTAATCTCACTGCTGACAGCAATCTTTAAAAAGAAAATAACTGGACCAACTTTATTAATTTGAGTCTTAAGCTAAGTGAGGCTCATTTAACACATCCCAGGAGTCTGGCAATAGTGAACTGGGCTGTCTCCTGGTGTTTTTATCAAAGAAGAGTTCTCTGTCTTTTTCTTTGTGCATTTTTTTAACTCTACCTCTATATCCGTAATTTGTTACTCATTGTTACGATAAAGCATGGATGATGAAAGACTAAAAATATTCGCAACTGGATTGAAAACAAAAATTTGTAAACTGGAGAATGGAAGACAGAAGTTCTACTCAGACGAGTTCCCAAGGCCAAACTGTTAGGATACAAGCAGCTAGGAAGCAGAGGGCAAGGAAGAAGGCGTTCACGTGTGGGGGACAAACATGGCAAGCACATCCCAGTAGGAAAGGGGCTGATTTAAAACAAGGGCGGCTGAGTGGACTGAGATCATGTATTTAATCTTGCGAATACAGATCCGCGATTTAAAATGAAATATACTTGCATTAATATTTAAAATCATTTAAGAGTCTCTCCCTTCCTATATCTCCCCTTTAGCTTTTCTAAAGTTTCAAGTTTTGTCCAATATAGATGGAAAGAAAGCAACAATAAAATGATAAGAGTCTAAAAATAGAAACAAATGACTATAAGAACAAGATTCCCAAAGCCCAGGTTTAGCAGGCAATGAGTTTTTACAATGAAAACAATTTAATGAGGGCTGCTGACGCTTTTTAGGCTGCCATCTGCCTACACTTTTAAAACCAAATAGGAAATCTGAGATTTTCTATTTGTTCATATGTATAAAACTGCAGTAAAATTAGTAGATATAATTCTTAATGTTTAGCTCCTCAATTTCTTCAAAATTCTTAAGACCTCTGTTTGTTTACACAACTCTATGACCTCTTGCAAAACTGCAACTCTAAAAAAAAAAGTTGGAATCAACCGTTTGAACTTCAAGTTGCACTGTGGTGGTGTTTACGCTTCTAACATGAAATAGGTCAACTTAAAAATCAAGCCCAGACCTCCCTGGACCATCCTCAATGCGGTCCTCCTTCCCTAATTGATCTCCAAACCCTACAGACCAATCCAAAACTTGTTTTCCATAAACGAGAAAACCAACACCATGGCTGCTTGAATTCCAAGAGATTTTTCTGCTCTAGCTCAGAAAACTAGAACTGCTGCAGTGCGAACCTGACGCACTGGCGGACACTCCAAATGCGGGCTGGCTCCCTTTCTGCTCTCGGGACAAAGGACCTGTCTGGCAAGAGGGAAACCCTACACTCTCCCCCATTTCCGAAGCAGCGCGGCATTAAGGGGCCCGCCTGAATGCGAGCCAGCGGACGGAAGGAGTGCCAAGGCTGGCCGTGCAGAGAGCTGTGCGCAGCTGGGCTGGACAGCGTCACAGCTATATTTAAAATCTGGAAAATGCTTTGGATCATGGAAATGGTTGCCTTTTGAAAGAAGAGAGAAGCAGCAGAAACATTAGCAAAGCCAGGCAAATTAGTAAGTGGCTTGGACCCAAAGTGAGCAAGAGCAGGCCCAGAAGCAAGTACCAGAAACATGCCGAGGGCGCTGTTCACCCGTCATGTGAGGGCCACACGCACCAACCCTGAGCTCCTGGGTGTAAGGCCGTGTCCGAGTTGATTTTTACCTTCTCTCTAGAGCCCCACATATTGCAGGGGCTCCGTACGCACCTGCTGGGTGAAGCTCTCCCTTTCTCTTACTCTCCATGTGGAATTAGTTTTGCGAGCGTGTAAGGACACACGGGTCCCCACTGAGAAGGAACAGGGAAGGGACTACCAGGAAATCGGAGGCCGAGTGAAGGGAACGCTGGGGCCAGCGGGATCCTGAGCCTCTCCCGGTGACGAGCCTTCAAAATCGGCACCAACTGCTCCGCTTACAAAAAGCACCAGAAGTGTCGCCGCTGGCACCTCACACCCAAGATTAGGGAGGGTGGACACACTGTCTTTCCCAGGCTCTCTCTGTCCTCCTGGGACGCATCCACAGTGGCCACAGTGCACCCACTCTGCAGCAGCAGCCAGAAAGCTGCGCGAAGACACCTTTACCTCAGGCCTCCAGGGCTTCGGGGCCTCGGAGACTGGCCAGGACAAGACAAGCTCTCCTGGGGCCTGGGGCCTGCCCCACAGCCAGGGAAAAACCCTCTGGATTCCCTGGCTGCATCCAAAGTAATACCAATCTAAAGGAATTTATGTTTGAAAGGGTGGAAGTGGAAAAAAGATCTTAAACCCTCAATTTGCCAGATTGACAATGGACCCATGTTTTGGTTCAATGGTTTGGGTTAATGTAGAATATCGGTTACTAACTGTTACACTAGTTTTCTTATGAGCATAATAAAGTGTTCTTATAGGTTCTATAAATTTCAGCAAAAATAGAAAATACTATTTTGAGTATAGATACTTTCTTCCAAAGAATGTGGGCTATGACTATTTGTAAATACTTTTAATACAAGTGAATTCTATGCAAAGACAATGTAACATTAGTGTCCACCTTTAAGAAAAACTGCACTTCTTAAGTCTTTTACTTTGAGAATGAGATATAAATTACACTACCATGTCTTCAGTTCTACCTAATGAATATGGCGTCTCATGGCTTAATACACACACACATTTAATCAACTAGTACATTTACGAGAATCAAATACCAGTGAGAGTACCCATGTGGGGATTATTTGTGTGTCCCCTTCAAAGTTGTATGTCCCTCACCCCCTATTTCAAAAGAGTGATAAGATAACAGATAGTTCCCAGGCATTCCAAACGGATATATTCCTTTGGGAAGCAATACACACACAAAAATGTGTTATTTTATTTCTTGCAACATGTAAAGCACGCCCTAGTGGACTTTTGTGCATAAAAGTATTTTTTCCTTAAGAAAAAGAAAGAAAACAAAAACAAGGCAAAAAATACCCAACCAAACAAAACAAAATGGGAAAAACTGGTCTCTTTGAAGAGAAAGAAGAGCAGCAAGAACGTGTGCTCCATAAGCAGCGGACACGAACCACTTACCTTTGCACGGCAGCTGACCTCCTGCAATCAGCGTTATGAAGGCCTCTGCACTGTTTTTGTTTGTTTGCCATAAATTTGCTTTCTGAATATTAGTAAAAGCTTTTGAATGAGGACTTAGACAGCATTTTCCGTTTTATGACATCAACCTCAGAAGAGATGAAAATTTCACATCTAGGCCCTAAACAAACCATCTCTCCATTTTGGCGCACAGGTAAGTGGGAACACTATACACAGTGCTCTTTCCTGAGCGAACATGTTCAGCCATAAATGCTTAGGGCCAAGTAAGAAAACGGGGAAATGCAGTGGCCTGCAGTCAGTTGTGGGACTCTCCTGGGGGCCGTCCGCTCAAACACAGACCTTTTCTCTACGCCCCCAAACAGGGAGGATGTGAAGTCCTCCCTTTTCATCCACTGATGGTGACAGGAGGACCGGTGATGCGAATAAGACAGGGCGGGGGGCGGGGGGGGAGAGGGGTTCCCTCTGCTACTCACCTCCCGAACCCTGAAACTGGACTGGGGGGTCTGCGAACTCCAGGTTAGCCTGGAGCCCGAGAGTTCCTTGTCAAACACTTAATAAAAAAGGATGATTATACTTTCTTAATTATCAATAAAGATAGGACAAAATATTTGATCCTTTAAAAAAATTACATCTCTGATGTGTGTATAAATCCTAATTTAAAAAAGGCAACAAGTATACCTGCAGCAAATTTACTGCCAGGCAAAAGCCAAAGGATAAGGGGATGTGTGTAGCCCAAGTGGGTCTGTAACTTCACGTACAACAGTGCTCCATGTGCTTCGTACTGATGAGGTAACTGGATGGACAGGTCTACATACCTGATGCTGGCTTGTTTCTGGATGACCAAGCCAGAATCCCATTTCCTTTTTGTCATCAGTATGCTAAAACTATGGTTATTTATCTATGTTTAAGATATTCAAAACAATTTGGGGGGGGGGAGATTTTGGAATAAAACACAAAGCCGTATAACAAATTTAAGTGGGGGTAGGCTTTACGCTTAGGCTTTATGATCTAGTTTTAGGAAAAGAAAAATGGCTGAATTATTTTTCCTCTACGGCTGAGTTATTTTTAAAACGCAGTTATATAAAAAAATAACTACTAACCTAGTGGAGAGCAAAAGTAGTAAAATTCTCTAGCGAGAGCTATAGATGTCAGATTTCACTGAAGACCGTATTGGCTTCGAGACTGCGTGTAGGAAAGATGTGAATCTGAATGATATTACGTACATATTACGTACATGACTAAATAGTTTCAAACTTTTTCTTGTTGACTATAGATTATTTTTATCCCTTCATCCTTCATTCCCCCCCCTTCCCCCCAAATAAAGGGCATTAAATAATTTCTGGCAATAAATACTTAGGGAAGTGTGTTAATTTCACTTCCTCAAGTATCTAATTTACCATCATAAAGGGACTTAGGTGAGGGAAAACTCTTGCTCGGTAAACTTCCCTTATACCTTAAAATTAACCTGGTTTTTAAGAAGTATGTTCGCATAGAAGCAATCTTTTTGGTAAGGTAACACCTACTAAGTGACAAATACTATCCTCTGCACGGGTGGTGGGAGCGGTCCGTGGTGAACCGGGCCAGGGAGGACAAACTACTTTGGCTCAGATCTGGAGGGTACATTCTAACTGTAAGAGCAGCAACATTTGAGGCTTATGGTGTGATGGGCACCGTTCTAAGTGCTTTACACATATTTACTCATTTAATCCACAAAAATCACCCGAGGGGTCGGGACTGCTGCCCTCACTGTACAGAGGAGGAAGTAAGCAGCTGAGAGCTGACAGGTGACGTTCCCACAGGAGGTGGGAGCTGGGGCCGACTCAGGCAGGCGGGCTCCTGAGCCTGTGTCTGAGCCTCCGTGGCACACATATCACAGTCCCTCTTCCAGAGGTTTCTGGGAGAGAATTTGGGACTGGAGGGGAGCCTAGAGTTTAGGTCAGGTTGAAAACCTAGGGCGTGGCTTGTTAAAAAAAACCACACACCAAACACCCCCTATGGCACTGGCTTCAATAGCATCGGTTCTGCTTGGGGGCCAGAGCTAACTTCCTACCCCAAACCTACCATTCGGCTTTAAGCATATGACCAAAAAACTGAGTTCAGAAATGGAATAAAAGGGCCGATTTAACCACGTCATTGGTTATCTCACGCTCCCTGCTGTTTCCTCGGCTGTACTAGTAAAATGGAGTGACAAGTCATCATCGGAGAGTGACAAGTCATAATTGGAAAGCGCCTTGAGAACCAGCCCTGGGGGCACCTCAGGCACCACGTAGAAGGCTAGTGAAACCCACCAGGCCCTAGAGAGAAGTTGGTGTCCGACTGCTATGAGCCTTTCGTTTTCAGAAAAAAAACACAAAGTAATTTTACATTTCACCCTGTAACCGTGTTATCCTGTATTAGAAACACAAGCAAAAGACAACATGCATGACACGGGATACACAATGTGAACGAAATTACCATAGATTGCCAAAAAGGTGGTCCTCCAATCACTGCCAGCAAATGCATGATTATTATGAAGATTTGCACTTCAGTCACATCAATTCTGATTAGGTACAAAAAGCCAAAAAAGCAGAATTACTCAAAAACAATTTCAAGTTCATTAGTTGCAAGCTTAGCAGCGTTCCTCTATCATGCACAATCGACAAAAATCTCAAATATTGAGGAATGGGGAAGAGGTGTCACAAATTTGTTATGAGCAAAATCAAATAAAATCCAGAGCCTTTTCATTTAATTTGATGAATTTCACAGAGCAATAAAAACCCCTCCTTTCCAAAGGAAGTTTCTGACTGAGGTTGGGCTGAAAACTAGAGCTTAACCTTTCCAACCAAAAAGAAAAAATGAAGTGTGTGTATTAAATTTTGAGTGTCAAGCAGAGGATTGCGTTGGACCGCTGTGCAACACGAGATCCTGAAATACTGCTTTGTAGTATCCAGCGGGAGAAATGGAGAGCTTTCACTAGTCGCAAAAACCACGGAGACCTTGGACAACGGACTGCCCTTTAGACAGCCTCATGTCAGGCCTTCCATGGTACGGGGGTGAAAAAAGTTCCACCCAGTTGTCAAATTCTCATGTTTATTAGGTCAACTACCCAAAGGTTTCTGGGAAGAAGACATTGAAAGCAGCCAAGAGTTAGCTTCGAGGTAGCTGGGAATGATCGTACAGTCAAAAAGAGGCAAACGTGGTGCAAAAACAGGGCAGCAGAAATGAGAAGGCCGAGAGTCTGGAAAAAAGAATACGGGCAAAAAGACTGAGGAGCAAAGCCTACACTGGGGTTCCCTTCCTGCCGGCACTTCGTCAGACCTGGAGGCCTGGATCCAAAGGCCTTTGAATGTTGAGAACTTACCCTACAGATACGCCTGCACACCCCGTTCGCACAAGGTGCTTCCTTACCGTGTTATTTATAATAGCAAATTAGAAATGAGGGTGTGGTCCCAGAAATTTTGGTAGCTTTTTAAAAAGGAGTGGGGCAGCTCCCTACATAGTGATACATACACATACTAATGACATAATAGGTAAAAGAAACAACTATGTTCTAGATCGTGTATATGTTACTTTCTCTATATAAAGATATTCTATTTTTTTATTTTTGCCATTAATTCTATAACAAGTTGCTGGAAGGATAAATCATAAACTGAGAACAGTAGTTACCTAGTGGAGGGCAGCATGGGAACCAGCCCGCTGGGAGAGGAGGCAGGAGACCACTAACTACGTATCTTTTTTATGATGTTAGTTTTTAAACAAAGTGAGTAATTTATATGTTGTGAAAGTAAGCTTGTTTTTTAAGTCTAAGAAAAATAGGTATCGACAGCAGCCAGGGGGTTCAACTCCCGGAGCAGAGCCGAGCACTCATTTCTAAAGCTGACACTGAGAACAAACAGTTTTAAGGGTCGGAAGCTCTCACACCCACAGCAAGTAGCTAGGCTGAAACCGGCCTCTCACCGCTAGAAAAACCTGATCTTCGTGTGCTCGAGAATGGTTTCTCAACAAGCTGATGAAGCTGCAAACATACCGGGATGCAGTTATCTCGATATACACATTTTTTATGGGGGGGAAATGGACTGGGTTAGGCTAAAAAGAATCTGTAGAGCTGACCTGGTGAGTGGTGTTGCCAATAAGGAAAATTACACTCAGTAGCAGACTCAGGAGGCTAAGCAGGTGTCAGAGATGTTCGGCTCTGTCTCGGGTGGAGGGCAGGCATCTTACAACATTTTGCTGGACATATGAAGTAGCCTTGTGGGAGGGGAAGGGCCAGAAGTATAGAATTACAAAATAAAAATGGAGGGAACCTCATGCAATTATTTGTACCTCGGATAAATGTAAAAGAGAATAGAAAACATGAAAGACCTTGACAAAGCCCCAAACTGGGATACCTACCACATGCACTTGGTTCGAATTCCAAGACAACTCAGTATTAAGTGAGGGTGTGAAGGGGATTAACTGACATTCGGGGAGGGCTGATAAGCATGGTAATCACCAATCACCTTTGCCCAGAATGTTTTACGTATTGTGTGCATTTCAAAGATACACTTGCAAATCTGCAAACATAATTTTTTTTTTGTTAAACTCTACACAGCAAATATAATTGTGTTGTAATCTGGGTTGGCTACCAGCTTGGTTAACACATGCACTAGGGCTAAATTCACTAAGTCAAAGAAACCTAGATTTGTACAATTTGACTTGTGAGCTATTATTTCAAAAGAAGCATTTTATTCAAAGTCATTGAAGGTGCCTGGAATCCTATTCAAAGATTAGACTGCTATTAACTGCAGATTTGCAATTATTCATAAATGGACCTGAGGTGCTAGGGAACATGCATAACCAGAATAAGGCATTCCTTATGTATGTTACCAGAAATACCATGGGTGGGGTAAGGACTGGCAGCCTGGAGTAAAGATTAGCTCGAAATGCAATACACTGCTTTCCGATATTTAACTTCCTGCCCTTGATAAGGGGCAAACTGGGCATGGCAAGCTTAGGTTAATGCTAAATAAGTATTACCAGTACAGCTGAGTGATAACCAGGAGTGTTTTAAATTGAAGTGTCATGTACAGAGGAAGTCTAAATGTCTATTTCTGAGGTAAGCTGAATTATTTAAAACAGTATTGTCTACCATGTGAATGATTACCTGGATCTTTATCTTTGAAGACTTAAACAAAAACAAAAAAATAACCTGTCTAGTGACTTTGAGTAAGAAGAGAATGGCCAAGGGCTAGCGTAGAGCAGGCCCTCCAAGAGGGATCCAAGTTTGCTAAGGGGCAGCCTGTCCTTCCCATCTTGGAAAACAGTCCTCTCACCTCACTGAGTGATCATCTTGGAGTTAAATAAAGGGTTCCCAGGCGCATTCTCCCGCTCACACTAGCACAATCAATTCCGGAAGAAACCTGGAGACCATCGGGAGTTACTAACATAGGTCTGAAATTAGTAATAATGGTAATGACCACTTATTATATGCCAGTCACTATAGGTAACACACTATATTTTTTTTACTCTTAATCTTCAAAATCATGCTGGGAGGCAGGACCTAGTACCACCATCCTATAGGTGAGACATTTAGTAAGATAGGGAAAATGACTTCCACGGGCCCATGACAGAGATAGTAAGTGCTGTTCCTACACAATGCTGACCAAACTCTCCTAAATTTTAGACTAGGAATCAACAGGGACAAACGTCTGTCACGGTGTTTAACTTGCTATCACTGAGATGTTTGTACGTTTCAGGATGGTGTTTCTCATCTTCTCACACAATTTTCTCTAAAATGGCACAGCCCAATAGGCAATTGCTGACATAGGCATAGGAAGTTTCGATGCTAATAAATGAAATTAATTTGGAAACAAATTAGAAATAACCACTTGTTGTGAAGCTTATTTTTCCCCTGAACTCTGTAAGAAAAAATAAGCACATCTGACAATTTTATTTAAATGAGCAAATCAGTTAAAGTGACAAATTCTAAAAGCAAAAGAAGACATCTGCAGGTTCGCAGCAACTGGTGAAAGGGAAGACAGTGTATGTGGAGGAAAAGCATCTTTCATGTTACAATGAAAATGCATTAATTTCCACAAACATTTTAATAGGAGGGACCTCTAAATATAGGGCACTTAGTTATCACAGATAAACACAGTGAAAGTAAACAATATAGTCCATATCTTAACTATGAATTTCATTAGGAACAGTGGTGACAGTAACCTTTGGTGAATGTAATTAATAGGATATAGGGCACTTAGTTATCACAGATAAACACAGGGAAAGTAAACAATATAGTCCATATCTTGACTATGAATTTCATAAGAACAGTGGTGACAGTGACCTTTGGTGAATGTAATTAATAGAAACAGATGAGCTATGGAAAATTATAAATCTAGACAAGTGCAGTGAGCATAAAGCCTCAGATCTTTGGAGAAAGTACCAAAGACAGGTGAACAGTAAAGGAGGGCTATAGGGTGACACCCTGAACGAGGCACAAGATTCTACCCCAGGAGGGAATTCCACAAATAATTATAAAAATATATTGTGAAGTCAATTGGAAATGGCTTTAGTTTTGTTCTTAAAACATGCCTAGAGTACTCAGTATTCTCCACATGCCAAATTTTTTTGATGAAAAAGAAAAAGTTGTAGAATATCCCTCACTATTGACTTGTCCCAAAGTCATCGTTACTGCCACTGAATAGATTTACAAAATAAACAGAATCAAAGCTCTATTTTTCTTGTAAATAAACTCATTCTAAAGTGTGAAGGATTCTGGCCTATTCTAGTGGGAAACCATTTCCTAATAAATCTTGAAATTTTAAAAATCCTAAGGTCAAAATCAGACTTCTAATATATGAAGAAAAAGATACGTTTCTTACTCTTAGCATTAACTACAGAAATATGTATTTAATATTAAAAAGCACAACCTAAAAAGGAAAGTAGTCAAAGGATGACTATAGTAACAGGAAAGCTAAAGATATTTAGTTTTAAAAGCACAAGAGAGGAAAATATTAAACATAATAGAAGCGAGAACAGCTTGTAACATTAATTTTTTATAAACAAACTTACTGCACACAGAAGCAGAAGCACTAGTACTACACAGCTTAAATGATACGCTAAGTAAGTGAAAAGAGTAAATGGAATCTTTTCTACATCGCTATAAAAAGCTCTCTCGACTTAAGTATCTAACAAAAACTCTGCTTGCTTTATTGTTTTCAAAATATAAATACCCAAAGAATTCTATTTCATGGTGGAAAGGTATTTGCTTTTTAAAAATATTACATAGAGCAAAAATAATATTGGTTACAGTAGGTAAGTGGGAGAGAGAATTGTTTTTAGCATCAGATCATCAAAATATTATTTTTAAAAAATTCTGTTTAATAGGGTGGATTTTTATTGCCCTATTATATATTAAAATTATTCGTTTTCTAATAACCTGTTTGCCTGTGAAATACCACCAGACTTTTGATTTTTTTGTTTAATTACTCTGTGCATGACAAAGGTGCTGTCTTCATTGAGTTCACGCCATTGTTCATTGGACAGCATGAATATTCTAGCAGTTACCGTGGAGTTCCAGAACCAAGGTCCCAGGGTTCCTGTGAGAAGCTGGCATATTATAATTATGATCTGGGACTCTGTAACATCGAATCTATGCATAAGGAAACAAACATTTCAAAATAGCTTTACTCAGAGCTTCTGCTAAAGAGCCCTACTAAAACAGGTAACAAAGCAAGATTTAAAATGCAGCATTCTCCTTATAAAGACATCTAAAGTTTCAACAATATGATTTATACAATACTATCGTCCTCCCATGCATACATGGACATTTCTTACCCAAATCCAAATAGTAGCAAAGCATAAAAATTAAAACCATAACACTGAATAAATGGCTTGTAAATCGGCAGCTGGAAACACTAGGACTAAAAACACAAGTCAGCTCTCAATGACCTAGGAATGGTGACTACTGCTTGCCAAATAATCACACTGTCTGGGAGGTAGGTACCGTGAGCGCCAGGACCTATCTGGACAGGCCTGTGGTAAATGCTTCCCAGCAGCCCCAATGTACAGACATCTGTGTGTCTGGGAAACCACGGATACCTCGCATCCCTTCACTACCCCACACTCACCTCGCCCTACCTCTGCTCTCAGTAACATCAACACATGAAGGGGCAAGGGCGAGTGGGGAAGGGTGACCTTTAGGAATTGGTTAGAGCAAAAATCAAAGCGGCCTTTTCATTGTTCTGCTTCCTGATCATCTCTAGTCCAGAATCTTATCCTCTCCGCTTTCTCTTCCCATAATTCCAGCTGTCACTCTCTACTACACTGGAAATGTTTACTAGTGGTCAATAAATAAAACAGCCAATTCAATCGCTAAAAAACATTTGGTGACAAGATAAAAGCTAGTTTGGGGGTGGGGGTGGACGGGGAGAGGTCAATGGGGGTAAAAGGAGACTCATGTAATACTTTAAACAATAAAGAATTTAAATTAAAAAAAGAAAAAAGCTAGTGATTTAGAACAGGCTCCAAATAAAATGGTCACAATCAAACCTAAGAACCAAGGGGTGCTAATGATCAAGGCCCACAATTTCACCTGCTGATCCGGAGTCCAAACTGCACTCAGGTTTTACATTCATATAGTTGTTTTAGGATATTATCTATGATTTTTTGATAAAATGGGCAGAGTCCAAATGAGTGAATCATTGCTGAGAAAAAATACACGGGAAAACCGAAACTAAAGGGAAACTTTGGTGTTCAATAATCCACGTGATAAATCTTAAACATTTACAGATCCAGATCCTATCAAGGCATTTGACAAGAAATTTCCTCATTTCCAATGCACAGGAAGTGGATCAGACATTAATAGTTTTTAATGACTAGGAGGTTTTCAACTATTTATTCTTTAGAGCAGGGGTGGGGAACTTCCAGCCCTCGGGCCATATAAGGCCCGCAAAATCATTTGGTCTGGCCCTGCCAAGGGAACCGCAGGCGGGACCTGAAATTCAATAAACCTAGGAGCTTTTTTCATAGCAACATAAATTTATATTAAGTGAATAATATTGAGTAAATGATGTTATAAATATCCAAATGGCCCTAATGGCAGAAAAAATGGTTCCCTAGCTCTGCTTTAGAGGTTAGCTGGGTAAGAAGGTGAACTGGATTTGTCAGACTACCAGTAGAATACATAGCCTATTAATTTTTTTCATTTTATTATAGAAAAAAATGTAATAAAGTGAAGAAAAATACTCTACCTGCCATAATTGTAAGTAACAAGAACTCTGGAAGTAATCTTTGTAAATTTAATGAACTCACAGAAAGAACCTTAGATGTCACCTAATCCCAAACTCTTGCTTTATACACTAGAGAATGAGGACCATGAAGGTTAGGGCCTTGCCCAAGCTGATGTACAGAGGAGGCCATTTGGAGAGGACACTTGAGGCAAGACACACTGGCCTGAGTTCAATTTACTCTAATTACTTTCTTTTTTTTTCCTCCTGAAAAGGTAACTTCAGAGTTGTGGGGTTTTATTCCCTAGCCAGTTTGGCTCAGTGGATAGAGCATTGGCCTGCGGACTGAAGGGTCCCAGGTTCAATTCTAGTCAAGGGCACATGCCTGGGTTGCGGCCGATCAATGATTCTCTCTCATTATTGATGTTTCTATCTCTTTCTCCCTCTTCCTGCCTCTCTGAAATCAATAAAAATAGATTTTTTTTTAAAAAAACGAAGGTTGTTTTTTCTGAAATGATAATTTAAGAAAGAGTTCTATCTTAAAGATTTTTTAAGGCCCACGGTTTGCATAAATATAGTTCATTAAGGATTGTTTAGGGTGTCTAAGCATTTAATTTATTAAAATGATTCTACACTGACACCTACATGTTATACATTAAAAATACCTGGATACGGAGAGTTTAGACCTTAAGAGAGGAAATGTGAACTCTTGCATTTAATATAATTGACAAACAATTTAAAGAATATTTTACAAGTGTTTACAAATGAGCTTCAACTCATAATTCTTATCTTTTCCCACGGACTCAATCCTTCTACGAAGTTCTAGCCTCTAAACCTATTCCCTCCCCAGCCTTTCCTATCCAGGCTTATAATAACGATCCTGACGGGCTCAGCTGGCCTGGGAGGGTCCGATGAGCAGTACTCATCCAACAGCTCCACTTGCTCAGACCAGAAGCACCGCCAGGACAGGCCAGGGGTACGGATGTGGTGGGCACTGCTCCCTGCACAAGGCGGCTTTTACCTGTGACCAGGGTAAAGTGCCGGCAGGTACAGCTCACACCGGCCACTCACAATACTTGACGCTGAGTGGAAATGAGTTAGTAATGGATGAATTAAATTACTGGGCCTCTTCATTCAAGGTACTAAGAGCACATTTAACAGCAACTAAAAATAGTGACATTAGGAGACTAAGGAAAACAAATACAAATTTCTAATTTGGCAAACATTTTGTTTTATAAGGTTATTAAAGGTATAGCAACCTGAATTTATGGTATATAAAAAGAAATCCTCGTGGTTTTTTTCATGTGTGTAAACATCAAAATAATTAAAGTATTTAAAAATAAAATCCCTAAGGGGCCTAAGGCTGCTTCCACTTTCCTCTGAATAAGAAGAAGGGATTTAAAAAATTTCTTTATTAAACTACATCTGAGGGTTGCCCTTGCCCTTCCTAATTAAACAAAACAAACTCTGGGCTTTCTCCTCCACGACAGACTTAGCTTCCTTAGAATGTTCCTCTGCTACCTGCTCTCGCAAAACATGGGAACGCCAGCATGGCGTTTTCAGATCTTCTTTAAAAATACCGTTATTACTCCATATGCCCTGGCATTTGGATAAATATCTTCTTAAATGTAAAGCATTGGCAGCATATTTCTATGAAGGTGGTAACTTACTTTTAATTTAAAAATATCAATTCAGTGTTGCCTTAATGTGAATGCAGGATTTCAGAAAATAGTATACAATTTTCCCAAATCAAAACCAATCCCTTATAATACTATTTAATTTGAATGGAGATGTTAAACGCAAACTGGCCTCAATATCCCACTGTAATTTTCACACTGTTGTAAGGCAGTGCCAGTCGCTCCTGTCTTTACCCTACTCTCCTCTCTAGTCAACTTCCTTTGTATGCTGGGATCTTTCCCATTAAAAATTAGTGGGAATTAACTTTTACAAAATATAAAACCCTCCCTCCTTTGAGCCACGTTCTCTCTTGCTGCTTCCCACCACGGCCACCCATTCTGTACGTGGCCTGCGCTAGCTGTGCGCTTACGTATTCCTTCCACGTGTCACCCCTACAATCTGGCTTCTGTCCCCACTACAGAGAAACCACTCTGCTGGCCCCACACTGCCAAATCAATGTACACTTTTCTGTCCTCATTCTGAGTCTTGGCAGCATTTAGCATTGTTCTCTTTCAAAATCCATTCCGGTATGGCTCCTCCTACTCCGCTGTTCAATTTCATGGGCTTCTTTCTAGGTTTGCTTTCTATGTTTTCTGCTATTCTTATCCTATCCGACGTCTAAAATCCCCCATATACAGCTTCTAGATGGAACTCTCCCTTCAAATAGGCTCCTCAGGCCTGGCCGGGTAGCTCAGTTGGTTGGAGTATCGTCCCCATGCCAAGGTTTGGGGTTCGATCCCCGGTCAGGGCACATACACGAATCCATCAGTGAATGCCTAATTGAGTGGAACAACAAATCAGTGTTTCTCTCTCTCTACCTCCCTTCCTCTCTCTTTCTCAAAAGGTTCCTTCTCCTGTAGTGCCTTCTCTACCTTCCATCCACCCACCTGAGAAGGTGATCTGGGAGCCATGCCAGTCTCCGCTCCCTCTCATTCTCCATATCCAGACAGAGATGTCCTACAGTTTCTACCTCTAAATCTCCAACCTCCCCCTTCCTCTTCCACAGCAGTCTCTGTGCGAGTTCATTCCTCACATTCACTGTGCTGATGCCTCCTAAGGGGTCTCCTTCCTTCTGTCACGGCCCACTCCAATCCACCATCAGAATGCTGTCGGACTGACCCTGTGTTAGGCCCTGCAAAGGTTCCCCACAGATCCAGGATCAAAGCTCACATTTCTGGGCAGGACAAAGGCCCTGGACTTTCTGGGTCTTCTCCAGCCCTAGCTCCTGCCACTCCCCTACAGGCATCTGATGCGCTAATGATGTGGTGCTGCCTGCAGTTTTCCAAGTATGTATTCTGTCAAAGGAATACGCCACCAGGACAACGCTAAGGCTGGAGAACAGAAAGCTGTAAGAGCAAGTCATGCCCACAAACACCATCCATTTCCTCCTCCCCTGCTCCCAGGGCTTTTGTTTCCCTTCCCCCGGGGCTCACACCATGTGGGTGATGCTGCTTTACTTAAAGGGGAAGAGAATACATTAGGGCTAGGTGACAGACACCTTTTCAAACTAAGGGCCTGAAAGTTAACTTTGAGATCATACCAATCACAAACTGAAATCCAGCTAGTAAAAAGTACCATCACTTAATTAGGGCAAACCAAGTGATCGTAGAAGTCTGAGGAAAAAAAACATTGGTAGATAATATTTTCAAATAGTGCTTTTTAAAAATAGTATCAGAAATTTTAAATATTTTCTGAGCACTGACCACTTTTAAACTGCTGATGAATGCATACAGTCTTCAATTGGACACTCACATCCACTATTGTCTCTTATAATAAAAATAACATCTTAACAATGGGCCTTAAACATGTTTTCTAAACCCCTTTATTGAGACATGTCTCTTAGCTAATATCCAAAATATTAATAATTATTTAGTTACTGTCATAAGAACATCTTAAATTATATTTAAATAAGTTTAGCAAAAGTCATCTCAACTAAACTTGTAGGGAACCCTGACTTTCTATGCACACTGTATTTTTCAAAACCTCAACAACTAAATTCATTATGGATCTAATATTCAAAACTCCATTAATGATTCATCTTAATTAGAGACTAGGTTAAGATGTTCTATCATTTACCATCAGATTTTTATTTTGACATTTCATGATGTATTCTGAGTCTTTTTTCAAGTTTTTTCTCTTTTAATCTTACACCATGAAAAAAATAAAAGATTAACTTGAACAGTATAAATATGATCTGTGATACTTAATTAAACACTAGTTGGTCAATTCCACCCTTAACCTCATTCCAAGACTGGTTTACTCATTAATATTTATGGATCACTACACTGAACTATTCACTTTGAAGTTTGAAGGAATTTTTGTATTTTTTTAAATTCTTGGGCATTTTGTTGGCAGTAATAACCTATATGGTGTGCTCATGTCAATCAAATTACCAAGAGTTTATATTTTTATAGATTCATAAATAAAACAAAGCAAAAAGAATAAAACCTTATTAAGCTACGATATTTAGAAATTAGAGTTGCTCTTTGCTCTTTTTAAGTATCTTTTTCTTTCCTGAAAATGAATTTTCATAGATGAAAATAAAACACAGGCCCGGCTGGTGTGGTCCAGTGGTTGAGCATTAACCTATGAACCAGGAGGTCCCAGTTCAATTCAGGTCAGGGCACATGCCTGGATTGCGGGCTCGGTCCCAGCAGGGGGCGTGCAGGAGGCAGCCGATCAATGATTCTCTCACATCATTGATGTTTCTATCTCTCTCTACTTCTTCCTTCCTCTCTGAAATCAATTTTAAAAAAAATCAAAAAAGAAAGATCACAATGAACACCTGAACAATCTGAACAAAAAAACACGGTGCTGACCGGTTTGTCTCAGTGGATAGAGCATTGGCCTGTAGACCGAAAGGGCACGAACCTCAGCTGCAGGCTCCTCTCCGGCCTGGTCCCTGGTTGGTGCGAGTGCAAGAGGCAACCAATCGATGTGTTTCTCTCACCAATATTTCTCTGTCTTTCCCTCTCTCTTCCACTCTCTCTAAAAATCAATGGAAAAATATCCTTGAGTGAGGATTAAAAAAAACAAGAACAGACACAAGAAGGCCCCACACTCAGCTGAAATCATTTTAGAGGCAAAAGAAAGACGCTGTAAATGTACAATGTCAGTTATCAATGATAAACAAGAAAGGATATCATCTTTTACATTATAGTTTATCCTGTAATTTCTTCTTTTTTTAAAAAAATATATTTTTATTGATTTCAGAGAGGAAGGGAAAGGGAGAGAGATATAGAAACATCCATGATGAGAGAGAATCATTGATTGGCTGCCTCCTGCATGCCTCCCACTGGGATGGAGCCAACAACCCGGGCATGTGCCCTTGACTAAAATCAAACCCGGGACCCTTCAGTCCGCAGGCCAGCGCTCTATCCACTGGGCCAAACCAGGTAGGGTTGCCTGTAATTTCAATCTTTTCTTTCTCTACACCAGCGGTCGCCAACCTTTTGGACCTCACGGACCACCGGTTGGTGATCCCTGCTCTACACACTTAGCGAAACCTAAGTTTTTGAAAGCAACTAAAATACTTGAGCATTTTTTTTTTTTGGAGTTTTCTCCCAACTTAGTGATAGTGTACTGATGAGCAGTAAAAAAAAAAGACAAGGCAGAGTCAAAAAGAAAGAAAAACTAGCTTGGTCGGTGTGACTCAGTTGTTAAACGTCGACCTATGAACCAGGAGGTCTCAGTTCGATTCCTGGTCAGTGCGGTCAGGGCACATGCCTGGGTTGGAGGCTCAATCCCTAGTGTAGGGTGTGCAGGAGGCAAGCCAATTAATGATTCTCTCTCATCATTGATGTTTCTTTCTCTCTCTCTCTCCCTTTCCCTTTCTTTCTAAAATCAATACAAATATATTTTTAAAAAATAAAAGAAAAAAATAATTCACAAAGGGACCTACTTGTTTCAGATGGATAGCCGTCTTTTCTTACTTAGCAGATATCGTTACGGACTTCCCTATAAAAGTTTCGAACTCAAACTACAGAGCAAAAATGACTATCACTTAAAATAAAACAGGATACCTATCATTCTGCTGTCAGGATACATAGAAACAGTAACTTTAACGTGCACCCACATCTGCAAATCTGAGTCCACGAGGGAAAACTATTGAGGGTTTTGTTTTTCTTTTAAAATATTTTCATTGCTATGCCAAATGACAAGAAACCAACTAAAGAACTAATTAAAACTAAGTGTGTGGGTGGTGGTGAACACTAGCTAGCAACTGTCATTTAGTTCCTAAATCTCTTGTTTTGCCCTCTAAAAAGGTACTGAGATATTACTTTACACACAGTACAAATAGAGACATATCACCTATAATCTAACTACAGTAACTCATCTATCGCTAGCACATTAGTGTGTTTTTCTAGTCCTTTTCTCATAGTTGTACCCCAAATCTACGATATAATTTTAAATATCTACAAAATATCCATCTAAAGACTAGGAATTTCCTAGTCTTCCACTATTGTACTCACATCTATAATTTATGAGATTTTTTTGATGATGACAACAAGGCCCTAAGATTTTTTCAAATAACTGGTGCCAAAACAATAATACTTCCGGTTAAAAAGAACTTTAGTGGAAATTAATATAAATTCTAAATTTCCCAATACAGCTAATAATGAACAAACATTAACCAGTTTTACAGCTTTTTGGAAATATTAAAACTTATATAAAATCACCATTCTGATAACCATTATACCACCATAAACCTCCTATTTATTCTAACATTGTTCGTCACATCCCCTTTGTCACTATTAATCATTAATATTTAAAAAAATCAATAGTACCTGTTGATAGTGAATCACAACCATGATCAAAAAGTTCTCCCAAAGGAGTACTACTATTGGTTCTTCTCGCCTGTTTCCCGTCTATGGCATCCAAAGACTGGTAGATGAAAAGGCCACACGCACAGGCAATATATGCCCACAGAGGTGCCTGCGCAATAACACAAGAAAAGCAAGACTGTTAAGACACACTCATTACTATAGTTGGCTAATATGCTTTATCTTCATTTTCCAGAGAAGCACTACTGGTTGGAAGCTCTGGGAGAGAAGATCCAGGTGCTACATAACGAAAAACATTCTGAAACCATCCAAATTGTAAAAGAATTAAATTCCTTAATTAGTACCGGTGCTCAAGCAGAAACTGGATTACACTTCCCAGGGACATGACAGAAATCCCATGATGGATGAGACTCAGTAATTTCTACAAGATTCTTTCTAACCTATAGATTCTAAGAGTCAATGAATGAATAATGTAGTACCGTGTTTCCCAAATTGTATCTTTCAAGATGTTTACAGGTATTACATGGAAAAAAACACACCTTCCATGCTAAACTCATGTGGGAAACACTGGCTTAAACAAGTCCATCCTAGCCCTAGCCCATTTGGCTCAGTGGATAGAGTGTCAGCCTGCAACTGAAGAGTCCCAGGTTCGATTCCGGTCAAGGGCACATGCCCGGGTTGCGGATTCCATCTCCAGGAGGGGTGTGCAGGAAGCAGCTGATCAATGATTCTCTCTCATCATTGATGTTTCAATCTCTCTCTCCCTGTAACCTTCCTCTCTGAAATATAAAACAAAAACAAAAAACATACAAACTCAGTACAACTGGACGGCTTTTACTGGAATTGACCCACCTCCCTGTTGTTCTTCTGTATCTCTAAAGATGTGGGCGATCTGGACCAAATTCCTCTGAAAGTAGCTGTCAGGACCTCAAGTAAGCTACTTGTAAAACAGCTCAAAGCACAGGTAATAAGGAATCCAAGGACAGCCCGGCTGGTGTGGCTCAGTGGCTGAGTGTCAACCTATGAACCAGGAGGTCATGGTGCGATTCCAGGTCAGGGTACATGCCCAGGTTTTGGGCTCCATCCCCAGTGTGGGGCTTGCAGGAGGCAGCCGATCCATGATTCTCTCTCATCATGGATGTTTCTATCTCTCTCTCCCTCTCCCTTCCTCTCTGAAATCAATAAAAATATTTTTTTTTAAAAAGAAAGAATCCAAGGACATACTTGTGGAGGAGGAGACTAGTTCATGACAGGTCCCGGCCTGACCATTGCAGGGCCTGCTGGCCAGGTTCAGATGGCCCCGGCCAGAACAGAGGTGGCTTCCGGGAAATCCCCTCCTACTGTCAGCTGGTTCCTAGAACTGGCCGTTGCCCTGCCCCTACCGAGTGGGTCACACCCGAGTAACCCTCTCCATCCCGCCCTGTTCTACGTGAGCCTTTAGTGCCTGCCCTGGGAACCGTCCCCCATCATATGTAAAGTTAGACTGGCTTTTGTTTTATAAGTTTCCGGACTGATGTAAAGTACGATAGTTAAGAAAATGAGGAAAAACCAGAATATGTCCATTCAATCTGGATGGACTGGATTTGTGTAGTCAAAGAGGAATTAAACTAGTTATTCAAGGATGAGGGGGAAATGAGCTCTGGGGAAAAAAATTCAACTATGAATTGATGAAAACAGAAAAGGATAGATGATGACAATTTCACCTGTAAGGACAAATCATATGACACGACTACTTAGAAAATTGTTATTTCAAACTTAAAACATACAAGAAATGTGTGCCCATTATGACATTATGTATGGTTCAGGGTCACTTTTAACATCTTTAGTTGAGAACCACCTTCTATTTTCTTGGGTTCCGTGTGACCAACCATTCTGATTAATACGGGCACCACACACGTTTGGTTCTTTCCTCTGCCTAACTGCCGCAGTTCACTTTCTGACGAGGACATTTTAAAACCAATGGGTACACAATGTACCCATTCTGATGAAGGGTCCTGGTTTCAGTTTTGGTTTTAAGTAATGAGCTCAGAGGGAAACAGAGGAAGCAGCAGTAGACGCTGCGTCTGAGGTGGCCCCGGAAGGGCGTCCCCAAGCAATCCCTTGCTTCCTTTCTGAACGGCAGCCACGGCGGGACACAGAGCAGGGGAAACAAGACACTGACTTTTTCTTACACTTCTCTCATCTTTTAGAATCACCAAGATATCGGAGGTCTACCAGCCACTTGTGTTTACGGGAGAGAAGAGCAATATTCAACAATCGCCCTGGAAGGAAGAGGGCAGCAGTTTGGATATGACTGATGTACAGGGTGCATTTCGCTACCGCAGACTGCTCTCTCTGATTATTTTAAACTCTGCTAAGACTGTATTCAGCCATCCCTCCTCCCCAACCCCCCAAAAAGAAAGAAAACTCTTTTGTAAAGAATTGAGATTTACTGATTCTAAAAGGGACGTTTTACGTGTTAATCCCCACTAACATTAATTTACCTACCAGAATCAGAGTCCACCCTCTACTTACGGTTTCTCGTACCCATAGTGTATGAGGTAGGTTGCAGTAGCAAGTTTTATTAAAATATCTTACGTAGCAGGATATTTGAAAAGAGTTGGCAAGAAGTTGTCAGAGTATCTGATCTTTAGCTAGACTGACCTAGAAACCCCAATGACGGTGCTGCTGGCATGTAACACATGTGCGTCATCGTCATGAAGAAATTCCTTACCTGCTCTGTGGCTGTAGGGCAGTAAAAGACTAATAAGACTGTCGTGCAGATGTTTATGGACAGCCCGATGATGGTGATGAGGTTCGGGGCGATCCAGGAGGGGACTCTTCCCACGAGCCACTCCCAGTACCCCTGCATCAGGGGCTCCAGCAGGGACCGGCCGGCACTCTGGTATCTGTGCTCTTCCAGCCGCTTGAGCTGGTGCCTGGACAGGGGTGGCGTGGGCAGCTGAAACAACTTGCTTAACACACACCCCGGAGTGCTCATGTGCCCGAAGCCCACGGGGGACTCCGCACGCGCGTCCCCACATCGTTTCTTGGACGACCGCTGGCCACTCATGGACTCTGGCTTTCTTTTATTTGGAGAGAATAATTTATCTTGCTTTACAGCTTTCGGTGGCTGGTCTTTACCTGGGGGGTGGGGGGTGGGGTGTAAACAAAAGTTTTGTCAGCCATTATTTACATCAATGTCAGTAAATTAAAAAAAATAAAAAGTCAAACTGGTAACAGACTTTCAAACCGGGGCCAGAAAACCAGGGGTTTGCTTTTCGTTTTAGTTCTTATTAATGGTGCTTCCTGTTCCCTTACAGTGTGACTTCAAAGCTCATGGTCTTTTTCGCCTCACTGCCTTCAGTACTACAATGGAACAAATCCTATAAGTCATCGAATCATTTCCAATACACGAAAACGGAGGTCCAAAGGCACACCCCAAGAGCTAGCAAATGAGTATTTACATCGTGGGTCTGAAACTAGATTTTTTATTTAATGCTGCCAGTTAGCATTTATTGAGCACTTACTATGTACGAAAAACTTCAAGCATGTTTTCATGTTTCCCATATTAACTCATTTAATCCTCACAACAAGCCCAGAAGGTAAGGACTGTTAATTATACCTATTTTTACAGAAAGTGAAACTAAGGCAAAGAGGGGCTGATTTCCTTGTGAGGTCCAGACAAACACAGGCTTCCTGTTTAAGTTAAAATAAAAGATAGAACTTCTCGCCAGTAGAAAAGGATTCCCTACAGACAGTATGCCAGGTGGGGGTCAACAGCGATGAAAAGGTGACTTTCAGAGGGCAGATGGTATCAGCAGTGTGACCGATGAACTGAGGTGATAAGGAATAAGGCCACGTGAATTGGTGATGACTGTTCACAAAGGACTTTGAGTTTAATCCCTGAAGTACGTGACTCAAAACACATTAGCGATAACATAATTATTGTTATTAAGCAGTGTAAGAAAATAATGACGTGTATTTTCAAGGTTAATAGGATAGATATATATTAATCAGAATAGAGATAGTGAGAACATTTAAAAATTAGTATGGCTCCGCTGATTGGAGTATTGCCCATACAATGAAAGGTCACAGGTTGGATTCCTGATTAGGGCACATACCTAGGTTGTGGGTTCAATCCCTGGTCAGGACATGCTCTGGAGGCAACCGATCAATGTTTCCCTCTCACACTGATGTTTCTCTCTCTCTCTCTCTCCCTCTCCCTCTCCCTCCCTCTTTCTGTAAAACCAATAAAAGCATGTCCTTGGTTGAGAATTTAAAAAATAAATACACAAACAACAATTAGTATGGAGACTTCAAAGGTTTGAAGTGGTGAGTGCCTAGAGTAGATTGGTAAAAATGGAAACATGAAAGACAGTCAAAATCTTTAGGTAATTTCTATGTAAAAGGAAGAGTCAAGAGAAAGAACTTTGGGACTAGAAGGAGCAGAGGAAAAAAGTAATCAGCAGAGACTCGTGGTCCTACTGTGAACAGGGGTTGGGAAGAAGCAGCTGGTTATGTGGCTTTGGTGGCGGGTGGGGGTGAGAGAGGACCTGGGGCTGAGGGGAGGAAATACAGATGTGCACCTTTTAGGTACAGGTGTTTCAGACAAAAATCAAAAGACTGGGAGTTTGGGTACGAGATGAAAATATCGTTATCACTTTAGAGGCTAAAGTCTAGTTTAAGGCTAAGAAGTAGGAAAGTTCTCGAAGGGATTAGGTATGGAGAGAAAATGAAACAGAACCTTGTGGGAAACTCACAGTTAGGGAGCAGGAGGAAAAGAAGCCGTAAGAGACTTGAACACAAAACAAAACAAAACAAAACAAAAGGAATAATCGTAAGCAGTGGCATTGTACCAAAGGGTGCACACTGATCTTCGGGTGGAGAGATACCCAGAAGGCTCTGTGACATTCTCAGAAATGCCGCACCACGGGATACAGAATGTGATCCAGGGTCTAGGACATCTCAACAATGGATCTAGTATCAAAACATGTCCAGGACTTCTTGCCTCTACTACCATAAGTAACAAATTCCAAAATTTCAATGTCACAAAAGATCTAAAGTGACATCCAGAATCACCATCAGTCATGGAGCTTGATAACTGTCTGCACGAAAGAGGGGCCACATGTTAAACCCCACAAGCTCAGGGGAGGCCTACGTGGTGGGCCTTGCAGACTCAGACACCAAAAGTAACCACGCAGGATGGTCTGAGCATACCTAACGGCCGGTCATGGTGGGCAGTCACATCCTAGGCCTGTAGCTTCCTTGACAGAAGTCAACCTTAACTTTAAGTGAGCTTGTCTACTGTCTTTTTGCATGTAAAATAACATATCCTTGGAAGGTCTCCTTTTCCAGACCCCTCAAGGCACTCCCACAGCAGCAGAGCACAGACCACAGAACCCCTCATTGTTATCTTATTCCCCCAAAACCATCTCTATGTACAATAAATATTAATTGTTAACTATCCTATACTCACCAAAGTAAAATACTGTACGTGTCGCTATCGTTTACTCTTCATCCACTCTCAGAGATTCCCCAGCTTTGCTTTCTCCCACCTCCCAAATCTACTACCAATGAATTCTCACGTATAAAATAAGCAGCAAAACTACCATTCTCTGGAGCATTTTCTCAATCTGTTGAGATTTCGCTTCCTGGCAATTGTCAGTTTAAATTCATAAAAGTTCTCAACAGGTTTGGACATTTCTTAAGTCGACCTGTGTCACAAACCAATTGATTACAACTGTAAGCAATACTTATGTCAAACAACCGGTTACAAGATCGTTTTAGATCAAGTGACAGACTGATAACCACCGAAATACTTAGCTTTATAGTAAGCCAGCTTTTCTATAGTCAAACTTAGTATGCGTTTTTATATTTGGTATGCTCTCATGGGATTCCACTTAAAGCTGGAACAGAAAGTTTAGCCAACTTAACCTGTATTTTATTATTATAGTATTCCCTCCCCCCCCCCTTTTAAAGGTAACATATTGAGGGTGCTGGCCCACTTTTGGCACTAACAGCTACAAGCAACCGATCCTAATGGTTTTAAGTTTGAGCGTTTGGCAGGACTGTATGATAAACTGATACTTTTCCTTCTGGGTGTTTTCCCTTGCTGACCTAGATTTCTTTTTTTTTTAACCCTCTATTGCTCTCTTGGAAAAATCTACATTTTGACAAACGTTTCTAGTTCTAGCCACTGTCTAATTCATCCAGGGGGGAAAAAGGCAAAAAGTTTTTGAACATTTCAATTTGGCAAGATTGTCTCTGTGAAGCTGTTAGCAACAAGATTGCAAACACACATTCAGACACATGTAGCCCCGACATGCTCTGCTTTCAACACCAACACACAACCACAGAGGTTGCCCTCACTGCCACAGTCCCACCTCCCTCCATCACACCTGAAATGCAGAGGCTATTGACAGGAAAATCATCTCAGGAAAAAATAGGAGCTTCTGAATTTTAGCAAAAGAAAAGCATGCATATTTCAAGAGGGCAGGACAAGGTAGGTGACTATAGCAGGAAGATCAGACTATAGGGAGAGAAAGGAGACAAGGACGTGGGGTGGAGATATGGAAAAGAGGAACGAATATCACAAAAAATTATTTCAGCCACGTAGGATTTTTATCTAAGCCAGGTCTATGGCCAAAGGATGAGAGAAAATATCATTTTCTTGCCACACTAAAAGGAACTAAAGAAGAAAAATATGACTAAGAAAGAAATTAAAATTATTGCTGGCTAGAGAAACCTAGCTACCAGTCCGAAGTTTTTGAGACAATGGATCCCAAGTTCCAAATGCATCCGGTCAATCTCTCAGTGCAGTAAACAAGACAGACACAGTCCCAGGTCCCACATCCAATGGGAAAATAACTAAAGACAGGTAAACAAGCCGCTAAGATGACACATTGTGATCGGTGCTATGACAAAAACAAAGTGTGGAACCAGAAAACAGGTGAGAGTGCGCAGAGTGAATAAGGCAGCTTAAGTCTGGGAAGAGGCAGCATGGACCCCAAATCCAAGAGCAGCAGAAACCGTCCACAAAGGGAACCGGCCCTGAGGCAAGAAAAGCCTTAACTCGTCCAGGCACCTTTGAGACCAGTATGGCTGGGCAGGCGTAAACCGGATGGAAGAGTTACTGTGGTGATCACTTTCCAACATATACGTATATGATATCAGCATGCTGCACACCGGAAACCAGCATCATGTTAATATAATGTCATATAATTGTGTCGTACTTTAATATACGTCATTCATCAAATGTTATATGTTAATAATATCTCAATTAACCCCCCCCCCCAAATAAAAGAGTGGAATACAATGACGTTTGAAAAGCCAGATAGTGCAGAGGGTTATGGTCCACAGCCAGGAGTTTCCATCCTGATGTTACGGAAAGCCGTCAAGGGGCTTATGAAGAAACCTGTCATTCTGTAGCACAGTCTACTTGTTAACTGAGGATATGTTTTCATAAATCATAATAATAAAAGTGAATGTTTTAAAGTAAAACATTCCCACCCCCTGGATAACACTGATCACAGGCCTACCTACAGCTATTGCAACCTCTCCACTTCTAATCAGCACAGCCTCCTCCTCTGCTATAACCGTTCACAGCACTTATCACACTCTAAACTTTTTTTGGTTGTTGTCACTGGTGGTGGTGATGGTGTTTTGGTCTTTCCCCACCAGGGCTGTAAGCCCTTGGACTGCAGGGGCCATATCTGTCTTAACTTTTTTTTCCTCCAAGATCTCATAGCATACCTAACGTTAAGTAGGCCATTAGTTCTCATTTGTGGAACAATGAGCAAATGTGATTCATCTAGTATTTAATGATCACTTAGTGGTTCTACATCTAGACCTTGAGGAAACAGAAAGATTGAGATATGCCATCCATGCCCAACCAGCTGAGTTATAACGTGCTGTGAACAAACTCCTGTGGGAGCCCAGAGGACGGGGCCCAGATGGTCTAACAGTAAGTCTCCTTTGGGCAGGCATGAGTATTTTTATGTGAAAAGTCCAACAAAGGGCCCTGGCCGGTGTGCTCAGTGGTTAGAGCGCCAGTCCCTGCACTGAAGGGTGGTGGGTTCGATTTCTGGTCAAGGACACACGTATCTGGGTTGCAGGTTCCTTCCCGCCCAGGGCTGGGGGTGCATGTGAGGCAACCGATTGACGTATTTCTCTCCTATCAGTGTTTTCTCTCTATCGCTCTCTCTCTCCCTCCTTCCTTTCCACTCTCTCAAAAATCAATGGGAAAAAACCAACAAAGGTACAAAAATATAATGTGAGATATGTAATGAATACCTTCACTAAAATGACACACCATTTGTGGCCCTTAAATCTACGATGCTTACAGCTGTGCTCACAGCAACGGAGGATAATGGCATGCAGCCGACCTTATTCCCGTGCTCAGCACCGGGGAACATCTGACACGCACCACACGAGAAAAGAATCTCCACTGCTCAGCAGAGCATACGGTAAGCTTACACAATACCCAACCTGCAGTGGGAGAGTCCAGAACTCCCTGCTCCCATGCCTAAGTGTGCCAAGTTCTGAGCTGCACTGATTCAGCAATATGTTTACTAGTACAACCTTTCACAGATACTGGGGACTACCCAGCTCTTTCCAACCTTTACGGCACTCCTAAAGGGAAATTCTCATGGCCAACACAATTTGGGAGGCAGAGCAGATTAAAAAACCAAGAGAGAGAGAGAGAGAGACAGAGAGAGAAAGACAGAGAGAGAGAGAGAGAGAGCCAACAAGATCAGTGGATATCATTCAGCATTCTTTAACAAGTGATACACAAAACAAGCTAGCAAAAACAAAAGCCTTTTCAGTAGACTTGGAAGCAGAAACAGTACTGTGTGATACAATTTAGATCTACTGTTTTGCTGAAGTGAAATCTTGCATTCCTTAAAACCAGAAAACAACTTCCTCCGAGAAGGGGGGACAGGAGGGGAAGCAACAGCCCAGCATTTTATAGATTTTCCTATTCCCTTAAAAACCGCAGCACAGCATGGCCCTCACCAAGAGCATCACCAGCACTTCAGCCAGCTTGAAGGAGCCCACTGCTGCCGAGAAAACACATGGCCGATGCAATAAAATGTAATGGGGGTTGTAAAAAAGTTTAGAGTTACATATCAAACACTTAATGGTGTTTATAATGTAAACTTTAAGGGAGATTGGTTGTGGGCGAGGAAGGAGAATACATTTCTAAAACGATCCTTGTAAATATTCAGTAATAATCTATTAAGTGGACGACACAAAAAGACGCCTCTGTCGGAGCAGGTTCATACAAGAGGCAGATTTATCGAACTTACTTCTCACCCGGAAGGATCGCACAGACCAGCTGCACAGGGGGCTGTGGCTCATGTTTCTCAGCACAAACCACAAGTGCAGCAAAAGGCTTTAGCTAGAACCTACCTCTCTGGAGTTTATGTGAACGGCATAAAATGCTGGCAATGTCCTCACCACAGCCTGACCGGTGCGGTCAGTCCATTCCATACACTCACTCAACACCTTCCTGCTCGTTTTAGAGCAGAAACGGAACAGTTTCTGTTCACAGCCGGGATGAGACGCGAATCGTGGTTGAAAGGTAACTAGGACTTTGTCTGCCGCCTTCATAGGCATTCACTCATGAACTGTGACTTCAAGCAAAAGGATACGTTCGATCCCAAAGATGCAAAGGGGCCAACACGCCACGCCCCGAAGGGGAGAAGAGTGAAGGCGGCTACCTGGAAAGATCCCATTCACCCAGCGCCCCGGGGAAGCCAGGAGAACCAGCAACCCTCCCGCCGAGCCCAGCGCCCCAGCAGCCCCGGCGGGCGACCTCGGGGCCGGTCGCTGCTGCCCTCGGACGCTCCTCCAGAAGTTGCCGACCCAGAAGCGTGGCCCATCCACGAAGCACCGGTGTCACGTTCCAAAGGGAAAGCGGCCCCGCCCGGCTCAGGGCGCATCGCGGTTCGGTGTGGACCCAACAGGCAAGG